GAGTCCTTAGCCATCTTCAAGAAACAGCTAAAAACACATCTCTTCCATATATATTTGACCCTCTAACACTTGCACTCTATTCGTTTTCCAACTGCTTGTGTTCTTTAAAAAAAGGCCTCTAACACTAGCTTTCTCTATTCTTTTTCTATTCTACTTGTTTTCTTTTTGTTGTGTATGTGTGTTGGTGTGAATGTTTGATATTATGTGAGACAGTGACATTTTGTTTTTAAAAATATGAATTCAATAGAGATTCACACTCAAAATCCAGGAAAATTTTAGTCATGGAGGATTCCATTAATAAAGTAAAGTTTTCCTGATTTTTGAGCATGAATCACTATTGAATCCTTGTTACAAACTAAAAAGATGTAAGCACCAAAACAAGAGAGTGTGATGTTAACGTCCTTGTAGAATCTGCTGTATAAAAATCTGACATAATAAAGCAAAAAAACAAACAATTCTTCACTTGATTCTGGCATTTGATACATGACATTACCATTCAAAACTTTAGGATTACTATGATTTTTTTTTTAAGAAATGTATATTTTTGCTCTTCAAGGATGCATTAATTTAATAAAATGACAGTAAAGACATTTATTTAAAATAAATGCTGTTCTTCTGAACTTTCCATTCATCAAGGAATCCTGTCGCTGTATAATGGTTTCCACACTTCATTAAGCAGTACAACCAATTTCAACTGTGATAATAATCAGAAATGTTTCTTGTGCAGCAAATCAGCATATTAGAATGATTTCTGAAGATCATGAGACACTGAAGAGGAGAAGTTGAGATCTGACATCACAGGGGGAAATTTTTTTTATTTTAAATTGTAAAATTATTCCACAATATTAATGTTTTTTAATATTTTTAATCTGATGCAGTTGGTGACATGAACAAAGAACCTTACTAATACAAATCCTTAGAACAGTATTCCATGCTGCTGCTTCCTCAAATCCATTCTACATGGCTCATTCGGAGGCCATAGAAATTAAACTCCATTCCGTGTTTTCAGTACTTGCACCTGCTGCACTCCCTTGACACAGCAAGATAAACAAAGCATCGCAGCATCTCTGCTGCTCAGGTGGGTCTGGCTGTGTGCTCACATACTGTCACTAAACAAGCTGTTATTTAACTGAATGTTCATCATTTGTTCTCCTGTTGCTTTTAAAGGCATCATGTAGTCTTTGTTGCAGCATTGAATAACAGTTACACTTAAACTATGTTGTTATAATGTTAACAGTTACCTGACGTTTTTGTTAGGCTAGGCACCAGAATACAGGAAATGGCATGTACTCCCGTAAAATTTTTCTAGACCCACCCACTTTTTTTTTTGCTTCCGACGCCCATGTGTAAATGTGAATTTTGTTGTTGTTTACGGTTAGCTTATAGATAACCGTAAGGCTAACATATTCATACAAAAAATATTAAAAAGTTCCATTTTGATTTCACAGGGGCATTAAAGACGTGGTGCGGTGTGGCGCAGCGCTGCACTTGTCGTCCGGTATGTGACTGCATTAAAGGGTAACTCCACCCCAAAATGAAAATGTTGTCATTAATCACTTACCCCCAGGGCCGCATTAAGACCGCACTGGGCCCCGGGGCTATGACTTACTGCAGGGCCCCCATCACAATAATGATATATATATATATATATATATATATATATAGGGTACAATGGAGCTAAAGGCCCACCTTAAGAAAAAATGTGCCATTCACTGCGCCTAAAATGTATAATTGCAGAAAAAATATATACGTTGTATTGAACATTAATGGAGCAACAGATTTTGTGTGAAAATAAGTCATTCAAGTTGTTTATTTTGTTTAAAAATGTTATAAATGTATGATGTGGCAAGAGGGGCCTTTTACCCCACACACGGGGTAAAAGCTCACCAGCATGGGGTAAAAGGCACACGGTATTTATACAAATACTTCAGCTAAAACTGTTTAAAATATGTTAATATAAAACATATATTTTAAAATACAGAAACAAAATCATTTAAAAAAGAAAAGATTCTGAAAGCATTGGAGATCCCATAATTAATATAGATTTACAGTAGTAACAACAAATTATATTTTATTATATGATATGATTAATACCATGTTTTTTAAATATGATGGTTTCATTTCAAACATAGTGATTATCTCTAAGATGGACACCCAACATAATATATATTTTCCATCTGAATCTAACCATGTCATGTCAACAAATGGAAAAGTCAGCCATCTATTAATTATCATGTTAATTACTATGCGCTTTTAGCCCCAACAGCAGGAGGCTAAAATACCATACTTTTACATATTCTTTCGTTATTTAAAAACTGTTGCTTTAATTATCTAAAACTAAACTGAAAATCATAAAGAAGACCTTTGTCTCAAAATATAAGCATTAATTTTAGTGATTCTCATTTGCTACTTAAATCTACAACATGTTTAAAAACATAAAATATTAGATCAAGTAAGCACAGAGTCAACTTTGCACTGCTGCGCGGGATCGCGTCAAAGATCAGACATATATACACGTGCATCTTGAAAAACTGATGTTTTGTAAAGTGCTACGCCACGTTTTTGTGCCATCTAGTGGTTTAGATGAAAATAATATCAAAGGCGCCTTTTACCCCAGGGTGCCTTTAGCCCCGTTATACCCTATATATATATATATATATATATACATACATATATA